GGGATGGATGCCTAGGTTGACCAAGGACACCACACAAAGAAGAAGGTAGAATTCCATCAGCTGGAATGACTGCATGGAGGAGGGGCTATTTCTCCAACAAGTTCACCTGCTCATACTGTTATATGACCTAGAAATAGGCTTCTATTTGTGTTGGAACCATTATATATATTTTTGCATCTACTTGCTATAGCAGTTGGCCTACCTTAACTAATGCACTTAGGTAAAGCCTTACTCAAAATGCCCATTTGGGAATTGGGAAGACATTTGTATTTTAGCTCCAATTATAGTAACAGTAATTGATATTTAACATTTATCATCTTAAGAGCTTTATATTTATTAACTCTTAATCCTCATAGTAAATGTATATGATAAGGACTAGTAGTCCCATTTTATAGTTGGGGGCACTGAAAGGTTAAATAACTTGCCCAAGGTCATATAGCCAGGGATTATAGAAGCTGAGATACAAACCCAGATAGTGTGGGTCCAAGAGACAATACTTGTCATCACTGCTATAGGGTCACCACGACATCCATAAAATCAAATATTCTATCAGTCAAATCAGTTTATTCTAAATTATTCCCACATCCTAAGGGTTGCTGTTGTCATCCTCCTCAGGGGTTTCTAGGTACCCTGATCTGGAATCTCCAGCTTAGAACCCAGAACTTGTTATCAGCTGCCAGACCTGCCTTATGTCCGCCAGAAGTGTGTCTGTCTGGATTTTGGCATACCTTCTCTCATATCTCCTGGACACTTGGCTCCATCCCCTACCAAGGCTCGACTCCGGCTTCGAGTCATCCGACTCTGACCACCACTCACCTGCCTCCTCCAGACATTGTCCCCCGATATTGATTCTACTTGCCCAGATAATGGATTCCCCCCCAACATCTGCAAAGACTCACCTCACTTAGGTGGGCATCTGTTTGTCTGTTCAGGTTCTTCTTGGTCTGGCCTAATCTACTTCTTGCCTAACTCTGAACGCTCATTCTAACTTTGTTCATTCATTCATATTTTTATTGGGCATCTACAGTGCTAGGTACTGTGCTAGGCACAGAGGATACAGGGTAAACTGGAAGGCACACTCCTGGTCCTCCGGGTGAGGAGGATCAGAGCACTGGGCCCTCCGATCCTGTTCTTCCCATACCTCAGCATATGGCCTCCCCTCCAAATAAACCCCAACCTCCTCCTCTTCAGGGCTCTCAAAACTTTCTTTGATTCCAGATTTGACCTCTAATTTCTTAATGTTGTCTGATGTTCTGAGAAAGGTATAATGGTATGAAAATCCACACTTGGGCGCCTGGGTGGCTCAGTCGGTTAAGAGACTGCCTTCGGCTCAGGTCATGATCCTGGAGTCCCGGGATCGAGTCCCACATCGGGCTCCCTGCTCAGCAGGGAGTCTGCTTCTCCCTCTGACCCTCTTCCCTCTCGTGCTCTCTCTCTCTCATTCTCTCTCTCAAATAAATAAATAAAATCTTAAAAAAAAAAAAAGAAAGAAAATCCACACTTGTCCAAGCCAGCTTATGAGCAATCTCAGAAGCATCAAGTGAGTGACCCACAGGAGGAAAAGGTATGTCACCGGGCAGAGTCTTAAGAAGAGAGAACAAAGATCCTGGCACTCTAGTGCAGAGATGGTTGTCTTCTCTTTCTAAATATGTAACAGGAAATTAGGCAGTTCACCTGTGTAAATCGTTTGCATATCACTCATATATGAGCCAGATGGCACCTCTTTGTTTTAAGAAATTAAAAATAAAAAAGAAAGAATGTAAGGAGGAGCTTATCTCCATCTCTCTCCCTGCTCTTGTATACACACCCTGGACTCTGCACTGGGCGGATGAACACACGCACACTCACAGGCATGCTCACACAAACACTCACCCACGCACACACTCACACTCTCACACACACAAAGAGAGAGGCCTGGGTTATCTGCATTTAACTGAATTAGGCACCAGGAACTCACAAACTCCTAGGCTCAACAGATTTCTGTGACCTACAGTAGCAAATCTATCCCGGACATCAGCTTGCAGAGATAATCCATCAAGGCTCCTGCTATATAATAAATCACTGCATTCCCCCAGAGCTTCAGCTGGTGTACCAAACAAAAAAATGTTTCATAAATCACCTGAACATGAACCTAGCTATAAGATCATGAGGACCATGTAAACACTGACCAGAAGAACAGGCAAGTGCTGATGATCCAGTCTTTCTATTTAAGTTGAAACCTTGGAAAGGAAAGTTTCCAGATGTGGTCAACTTAAAGACCCTACTCCTTTGGGGCAGCTACATGATCCCAGTTTATCTTCCATTGATCAGGAGGTCCTTCTCTCTGACCCAAGAATGACATCTGGAAATCAGATTATCCCTGCGGTTCTCCTGCCTTGGGTATGAAGGAAACAATAGTTTACCCAGTAAGCCATGTATTCCAGGCTCTTTACACAAAGTAACTTGCTCAACATCAAAATAACTCTGCCAAGAGACTACATTTGTCCTCATTTTTTAAATGGGAAAACTAAAGAGAGGTTAGGGGAAGTGCGCTGGGGTCCCAAGGCTGCTAATGGTGGTGGTGTTTATTAAGATCAGGTCCCGGTGCAGAACGCCTTTGCACTCTGACGTCCTCCGGTGTGGATAACAAGACTTTGGAGTACATCCAGTGATGTGACCCCCGGCAAATCTACTTCTGCCTTTTGTTTTGCAGAGGGTGAGGGAGGGGGAGCTGTGCATACATTAGGACATTGGGAACAACTGAACACGAAGATATGATACATACTACTCTCGGAATATGGAAAGTATAATATCTACCCACCATCAGTGGGATATGCAGTTTTCCCATAGTGCACTGTTTTTACTACAATAGCTCTTTTTTATTTCATATTCCCTGTGACCAAAGACATACGTTTTCAAGCCGGCTGGCCTCTGCTTACACCCGGCTTAGAACTCATGAAAAAGGGATTGCAGATAGCTGAAGAGTGGACCTTTTCCACCTCGCCCTCCCTTCCTCATGTTCCAATCAGCCCTGGTGTCCACCGAAATAAGATAGATTCACCCCTTGCTGCTCTCCCAGGAGGAAAGAGCATCAGTTCCCAGTTGTTAAAGCAAGGGCAAAGCAGTATTGTTGGATAGCTGATAGATGTGATTTTTTGACTCTTTTGAATCACAATCAAGAAATAGGAAGGGCACTCCTTGAAGTGAGTTTGACAGCTAAGTGTGCACACATTGTGGTCAGATTTTGTTTCCCGGGACCGTGGTAAAGCCAGTGGAGAACAGATTGTCATAATCATACATCTGCCGCACACAGAAAAACGATGATCCCTCCCTTGCTTTTATCAACACCAGTGTAAATCTGAGCTCAGGCAAACAGGCCAGCAAACGCCATTACAGAGAGCACAAAGGCAATTAAACGGTGCTAACTCCAGCTAGACTCAAGAAATCTACGGCCCATGGGCCCTTAGTAACCACACCAATGCCTCTCTTGGAAATGAGCGAAAAAATTAGTCTAGATGCTGAAGAAAGACTCTGCTTTGATGTTTCCTGGCAGGTCTGCCCTGGCCATCCATCTGTGGCGACTGCTGCATTGTGCTCCCTTTTCCATATCTGGGATGTTAGACGGGGTAGGTGGCTTGAGAAACTGCCTAGCTTGCTCGGACCTTACTACCTTCCCTGCTGTTTGGTCTACTTGGCCTCATATTCTCTCATGATAGTATAGCATCTACCGTCCTTTGGTTGTACCATGCACAAATCACTTTCTAGCCACAAAGGGCATTTCTCAAATATTTCAATTTTCTTCAGGCTATGGGTAAAATGAAGTGTCTTGAGCAACCAGTTCTAATGTCTGAGCAATGTTGTTTAGGCAAAGCCATCAGGAGCATCCAGAATGAACAGATATGCACATGCCAACCCCAAACTCCCAGCCTCATAGTCTACCATGCTTAGGCCACTAGGACAATCGTATCTGGGCTCTTTGACTCACAATATGATCATTCATTCCCTACAAGGAACACAAAACCAATGGGTACCATGCCTCTTGACCTCTAGAACTTTCTCCCACCCTCTTCTTATACCACCTATTCAAACTCCTCACCCACGCAGTATCCCTGAAGTAACTATTACATATTTCTTGAGGCATGTGCCTTCCAATCAGTTTGCAAAGGTTATCCTATCTCTGCATCTCAGGCTGCTCCCACATTTCCCTCTTTTGGGGTAAATGACACTTGTGCCCACTTGTCTTTTCCCTGTCAAAACCACTCAATAATCCACTGGAAGGGGTTTCCCAAAGACTAAGGGAACAAATAATCCTGGGAGCAAAATAAGATAAGATACCTCTTAACATAAAGCAGACCACTGTATAGAGGTAAAATTGAATGTGATGCCTCCTAACACAATCAGAAAGCTTTTTCTAAGGCCAACTAGCAACTCTCTCCAAAGTTGACAACAATAACATGCTTTCTTGCTTCACCTTTCCTAAATCATTCAGGTGATTTTGCTCAGCAGGACATTAATGATTTTTGCTACTTTACTGTGGGTTCTGGCTTCTCATCAAGATCTACTTTTGAAGACAAGATAAGCCTACACAGTCACCAGATAATTTCAGAGAATAAAATGTGTTGTGGGTAAGGCTGGGTCAGGGACTGAGTTGGGAGGTGTTAAAATGTAGCACCAAGTTGAGCTTGACCCTGTGTGCATTTGGGCATACACATATATGTATGAGTCTGTTTGCATGAAGAATGAGTATTGATGTATATAAGAACACAATGCATATGTCATTGCAATGTAAGAATACCGTCAAGTTGAACGTCCAAGAGGAAGGGAGGCATGAGCTATCGAGAGAATAATAAACAGGTATGTCAAGATGTAGGAGTGGCCAAAGGATAACCACCACGTGTATGTCTGGGCATGGGTGCATACGTGCGTTCTCCGGAGTGACAGGGTTAATGGACAATGACAAAGACATGTGAGCAAGGTGTTAGCTCTGCTGCTGAGTCCTGCAGCTGGAAAAGCCACCTTACCCTGTAGTAATCAGTGCTGTAGACATCTCTGGACATGCCGAAGTCCCCGATCTTCACCAGCAGATTGGCTCCCACCAGGCAGTTCCTGGTGGCCAGGTCCCGGTGTACGAAGTGCTGGGAGGCCAGGTACACCATGCCTGAGGCGATCTGACTGGCGATGTGGAGCATTTGGGAGAGCCCCAACTCGCCTTTCGCCTGGCGTGGCTGCCCATCTACAAGGATCATAGCATCTGGCCCATGGGCCCTGTGAGGGGTGGGGAAGAAGACAGAGGACAGAGAGAATTCAGGAGATCACAGGGAACAGCCTTCTTGATTCTCTGTTCTCAAGAATACACCACAGAAATGAATAGAATCTCTCTTAGCCTACTTATTGCCTATTTCTGTCCATCCAACATTACGATATGTGAGTGTGCATTATGAGTACAACACTACAATCAGATTCCCAACTAAGAGGATGCAGACATAGTTTAATGGATCAGGAAATAAACCTACTCTTTTAAGTATCTTAATGTTATGCAGGAGTTTCCCCAGCTCTAGATATCCACTACAGAATCGTTAATAAAACAATTAACTCTTCCAGAGCCCTTGCTGTTCCAAGTTCTAAAGATCCCAGATCTATTAATTCACTTAATCCTCCCACTCCAATTTTGAGTTAAAGCAACTGAGGCACAAAATGGTCAGATCACCTGGCCAAAGTCACAGGAGTGCCGCAGTGGCCATATGGATAATCTGGAGGCTGAAGGAAACCAGACATGTGGCTCTAGAGAGCTCTAAATTTTAAGGAGCATCATCAATTGTGCTGAAGAGATTCCTGGGCCCCGCCCCTATGATCCTGATTGGCTGGGCGGAGCTCAATCATTTGCATTTCTGACAAGCTCCTGGTGCTGATGCTGTGGATGGGCAGTCCACACTGTGGGCAGCAGGAGCCTGGAGTTCACATTCCTACCCTGTCCACCACACTGCCTAGGACTGGATAACTTTTGTTGGTGGCAGGGCCAAATGGAGAGACCCTTCGGGTCTGGGAAGCTGAGGCCTGGGAAGCCCCAGTTCCCCCACCGTCCCAAATCAAGGCCCCGGATTTGTTATCCTAACGCCTTGCCTTGTCATATCGGTCACTTTTAGTATTCACTCTTTTCTCCAGAAAGCCCAATGAGCCATAACCACACCCAGAGCCCTTATTTATGAAGTTGTGGACCAAGGAGCCCTCGTGTACAGGGAGGCCTCGGCCTGTTTTACTGCTTCTCCAATTTCCACTGAAAGGAGGCATTAAATATGAACACATTCATTTTATTGTCTCCTGTGGGTTCTGCCTACTTCACCCTCCGAAGGAGAGCTACTGCATCAGCCCGCAAGGAGCGAGCATCCTCAGGCAAGCCTGAGCTTCGATCAACCAGTAGAGGACGCTGCAGCCTGCCCCTAAAAGCCACCAACTGGCTTCTCTACTCTTTTCTTCCCTCTTCCCTCATATTGGGCATGGCAGGGGTACACAGAGGCTCCCAAGAGCTCTCTGTAGGCCTGTCTGGGGCACTTGGGGCTAAAGGCACTGCTGAATCTATGGCATGGGCTTGCTGGGAAATGGAGCATGTCCCTCGGACCATCCCAGGGGGATGCAAGCACAGCATAAAGATCTTGAATACTGAGAAAAGGCATTGCCTATGTTAGTAACTATCCTGGTTCACAGTCCTGATAAAATACTACTTGTACTAATGTAATAGTAGCTATCATCGACTGAATACTCAGCTACGTGGAAAACTCATTTAGGTATTATACAAATACAATCACTTCGCACTCATGGTAGGAAAACTGTGGAGCAGTTTAGTCTTGTTATCTAGGAGAGAGAATTAAGGTTTAATAACTTGCTCCAGGTTACATCACTAAGACGTGACAAATTCAGGATGTGAACCCAAGTCTGTCTGATGACAAGGACAGAGTCCTCCAAGAAAGGAATAAATTTCATTGTGAAAATCCAAGTTCAGGAGGTTCAAAACATCCTACACATATTTTCCCTTCTTCGGGGGCCATTTTTGGAAACCCAGCTCATAAGAAGAGTTCATTAATTGCTACCAGCCCTTTCCAGGATCCCTCAAAACCACGGCACACTAGTCAATGTCTCACTTGAAGAAGATGCTCTCAAGTTTTGGTGAGTGTGTTAGCAGTGTTCCATGGCCTACACGTGAACTCTGAAAATGTCATTATCAGCCATGGGATGCAATGGATATCAAAAGAACCTTACGTGTCAAAGGCCTGATTGTCCCACCTGCTTCCTGGGACCCCAAATTCTACACACCCTCACACACAGCTGCCCCCTCCACGTCTGGCATACTTGGAAGTGGCAGATGTGGGAGGCAGAGAAGTGCTAACTCTGCTCTAGTGGTGAGAAGCTGTCTTCCCTGGGGAAGGCTGTCGGCCCTCCTGCCGTGCAACTCCATCCAGAACCTTCTGGCTGAGGTTCCAGTCTCTTGCTAGTTCCATCAAGAGCATCTCAAAACCCAGATGATCTTGAGCCAAGTTTGGGGAAACCCTCTTACAATATATCTAATCTTTCTAAAACAGTGCTTTCCAGCTGAACTTTTTATTGATGGAAATATTCTATACTGCACTGCCCAATATTGTAGCCACTAGCCCGAGGGGACTACTGAGTACTTGAAATGTGGCTAGTGTAACCAAGGAACTGGATTTTTTAATTTAATTTAAGTCATGTAAATTTAAATTCAAATATCCATAGGTAGCTACAGCACTGGACGGCATGGTTATAAATTGACCCAAGGAAAATCTGCTCTTCTTTTTCAACCATCTCTGTCTCCTGATGAACTTGTAACATTGTACTTTCTTATTCATCATAAAAAAGTCTCCAGCAAGAAGGTTTCCAGCAGGAGTGTAAGGTATTAGCTCCACTTCGCAACACTGAGAAATGTAAGGCACCAAGTGAGAAAACAATTCAGATCATCAGGAGAAAAGGTGGCTCTAGAGCCTCAGAGTTGAGAGTTATAGGCTGGCAGGCCCTCTGGGCTCCCTCCTCAGTCTCTTCCAGACCCTGCTCTTGTGGTCAGTCCACCTTGTGATCAGGAAGAAGATACTCACTTGTCATAGCATCCTCAGTGTTTCCCCCTAGAAATCAGTGACAAAGGCCTGAAGCTTGCTGCTCAGGAACTGATATGAAAGATTGAAAGGTTGCTTCTCATTTCTAATCCCTAGACTTATGTGTTCAGAGGGGCCGTGTGACTTCTGGCTCCAGGGGAACTGCAGGGGTTCAGGGGGGTTGGCTGGGGGGCCAGGACTGGGGGCGGCAGTCCTTGCTTACCTGAGGAACTTGTTCAGGTCTCCATGCTTCATGTACTCAAAGACCATGATGAGCGGGTCCCCATCACCACACACCCCATAGAACTTGACAATGTGCTCGTGCTGCAGGTTAGTGAGCAGCTCAGCCTCCCTCTGGAAATCCTTCCGGGCAGCCAGGGTGGGATCCTTCAGGGCCTGGAAACAGTGCAGGACATGGGTTTTAGCAACCAGAGGGCAAGGGCCTGTCTGCTCCCCTCCTGGGAAGAAACCTGCCCATGATAAAGACAGCTGGTCCCCAACCAATCAGATTTTAATCAGGGTTTAAAGACCATGAGGTGACATCACAACAGCCGGGCCTGATTCCTTCTGTCCTCAGCCTGTTCATCCTTTGCAGAAACAGAAGCCAGCTTTCTGGTGCGCCACCTCCCATCCACTGGCCACTGATCTCAATGCATGTTCATCTCAGAGCCCTTTGCTCCCTGAGATTTCGCACGAATGGCGGTAGGAGGGGGCTGGGCAGGTGGAGAGCCTGACCAAGGCGCCTTCCCCTAAGCTTTCCTTGAAGAGATGATCCTGCAGCTAAAAATAACAGTGGAAAAACCACCACCCCGTTGCTTTAACTTTGTAAATTAGCCTATGCCCAGAGCCTACCAGAAATCAGGCATAAAAAAGCCTCCTTGCCCTTTCTATTCCTTGATTTTAGATTGTGGAGGAGTGTATATTCGCAGAGAAACATCAACATGTTGCTTCTAGAAGGCGCCTGTGTCCTCCTAGTAGGAAGCTGAAGGAGGCACTGGGGGGCGAGTGGGCCTGCAGCTATATGGGAACGGCAGTGAACAGGCAACAGCCTTAGGATCCACCGAGAACCAGGATGGGGTCAAGTCCTGCAAAATCCCAGGGCAGGATGGGCAGGTGGGCATCTTGTGATCACTGAAACGTGGGAGAGCCCAGGGTGAGTGGGAGACATCAGACTGGGGTTCAGGAAGACAAACAGAAGAGGAGCGGTCAGGAGGGGTGTCAGGTGTGAGTGTGGATGCTCTAGCACTAGAAGGGGACGGTGAGACCAAAGTAGAAGACTCTGAGCACATCTAAGCGACCGTGGTGGACAGGGCCCTGCCACAAGGAGGCAGCTATGCAGGCCAGAAGGAGGGTGAACAGTAAAGGGGCGGTGGGGGGGGGCGTCCTGCAGGAGGCACAGCCTGGGCAGGTGGGTGCACATATTTCAGGCTTCCCTCCCTCCCCCACGAGGTCAGAAGGCAAACAGGGCCAAACAGCCACTTGCTTCAACCAACACAGTTTCGTAACCTCACCAGACACAACACCAGGCCATGAGGAAGTGAGTGTGAAGTTGGCACGCTCTTTTCAGCTTAGTGAAAATCTAGACAGGCATGAGACTGGTTTGCATCCTCTCTGCCAAGCGTCTGGCCTTTTTGGTGATTTAGGCTGACCCACCTCCCCTGTAGATCATGTTACTCCTGCAAGGCCTCGCCAGCCAGGGGTCTTTCTGTTGCCTCAGCCGCGCGCATTAACTGAAATCCACAGGGCTGCCTTGGCCGACAGCCCTGCAGGGATGTGCATATGCAAAAATCCTATCTAGTAGGGCCCATCAGACCTCCATCAGTCGCTAGCACACATTAGAGATGATGCACTTTGAGCACTAAATATCACCAGCTTCCCTCCACCTGCTTATTGCTGGAGTTGGAGAAACTGAGGCCCAGCCCTGGCTGGTAGTCAGTACACATTCACACATCTCAAATGGAAGCGTACCATTAAACCGGACCTCAGCCGTCTCCGGGACCCCAGAGTTCAGTCTCAATGTCTCTAGGGCCATGGTCTCCTAGCCAGAGATCAAACCCACTCCAACCGTCGACCGGCACCACCTTTCACTCTTTTCAAACTTTGGAGAGTTCACTGAAAACGCATTTGATGAAATGATTCTACCATTGACAGAAATTCTGGGATTTATCTCATGCAGCTTTCCCACATGACAGCTGAGGAAACCGAGGTCCAGAACGGGGAAATGACTTACCAGAGACCATGCCCTAGCCAGGGCTTGAATCTGGAGCCCAGGGACACTTCCCTGGATGGCACACCTGCTTAAGTTAATTTACCAGATGAATTGGCCACTAGGCATGTCCCCGAGGGAATGGGGGCCACAGACGTTTTATGGTGTGAAAGAGTGGAGGAGAGGGCCAGGTAAGGCAGAGGGGCCAGGCTCAGCGAGGATGCTGGACAGGTAGGGCTGACTAAGCCTGGCAGGGAGGTGGGCGGTCCAGCCCGTTGCTGACTTTGCCAGCTCTGAGCTCATGTGCTCTGCACTTAGGCTCTGGCCACCTTCTCAGGGAAGCTGTCCACTAAGAAAGGAGCATGCTGCTGTGTGTCCACGTGCAGCCAGAACAATGACATTTGCAAAGGTTTCTTGCTATGCGTGGGAGAAGGCAGAGTCATGGTGAGAGGGGTCCTTGCTGCGACCCAGCTCCTGAGCTGCGTGGCCTGGGCTGTGGGTAGAGGATGAGTGCCAGTGATTTATTTTTATGAAGAATAAGAGGGGGGAGAAAAGAGGAACCCAGCATGGGTGGGATGGAAGACTACAGAGATTTATGGGAATGCTGGATTTATGAGAGGGAAAAGTAGATCAAATTTGGGGCCAGCCAAATGGCCTCTCTCCATCTCTGTAAATCATTCTCTTGAACTGTCTGGACGCCAATAGCAGTCATGGGATTTTTCCGTTCTTGGCTCTCAGGCAGTGCCAGCCAGTGTGCCCAAGCCTGGCGCTCCACACTGCCGGGCAGACAGGGGTTCCTCATTTGGGAGATGGGGCACACAGCAACCACTGTCCCCTAGTCTCTCCACAGCCCTTGTCCACTGCTAGTTCTCTCTCTGCCTTCACACCGGGTTTTCCAGCTCCTGGGTCTAACCTGAAGTGCCTATGTAATTGGCAAGGGGTGAGGTGCGGCATCTGGGGGCCAGGGCTGCAGGTGGCCCCAATTCCCAGGAGTTGATGCAATTGGGACAGAGATGACAGGCGGAGACTAATGAGGAGGAAAATCAGCTCAGAGGCTCCCCCACCCTTCTCAGTGGCATCCACCACACTCAACCCCTTCTTCGGGGCTGGGAAACTTCAAAGTGGATCGCCAGTCAGGGGCACCAGTGAGTTCCTGTTGCAGGGAGACGGGTCTCGCCAGAGGGTCTCTGAAGCCGGGGAGGCTCCCCTAGGTCCTTTGAGCAGTATCCACAGAACAAAGAAATCTGCCCCCCACCGAATCTCCTTTCTTTTCCCCCAAAGTTTGAGGACATTGCACTTTCTGATCTTCCTCTCTATGTGCATCATATCTCATGTCCACCCCAGCCCTGGGTTTCAGTGGGGCCGTCTGGGAAGCAGTCCAGATGGCAAAAGCATTCGAATTTCTTGGGGCGCTTGGGTGGCTCAGTGCCCAACTCTTGATTTTGGCTCAGGTCATGATCTCAGGATGGTGAGATTGAACCCCACAATGGGCTCCGCGCTGAGCATGAGCCTGCTTAAGGTTCTCTCCCTCCCTCTCCCTCTGCCCCGCCCCTGCTCGTGCTCCATCTCTCAAAAAAAAAAAAAAGTTTCAAAGTGTTTGGTTTCAGATTTCATTAGTATACTGATTTAACCCATTTAATATATGCAGAGATACACACATTCCTAAATGTTCACATTTTTAAATATTCAAACATGCACACACGCATGTCAATCTACACTTTTTAAGTATAAAAATCATCTCTCTCCTTTTCTCTCAAAATCCAATGTCACTTCTCCTTGTTGACATTCCCAAACGATTTTATGAGAGAGGAAGCTGGGTAAGTTATCACAAGCCAGGTGGCTCTCATCTGGCTTCCTGGTTTACAACTGGCCATTGGTTTCCCATTGTTTTTAGGATAAAATCCAAACCCCTTAAAACAGTCATGGGCTCTAAATGTCAGGTCTCCCCATCTCTCTCTGCCTCCTTTCCTCCCATGCCCTTCCTCTCCTTCACTCATTACACTTTGATCTCATTGGTCTTTCTGTCCTTGGTACCCACCAAGCTTTTACCTGCCTCAGGCCCTTTGCACATGCATTCTTTTGGTCAGAAAAAACTCCACCAAGTTATATCCACATGACTGGCCAAATTAACTGGTACTGTCTGTTACCTCTCAGGAACATCCTGACTGAAACCCATTATGCCCTGAATAATGGTTGGATACCCAGATAGATACTTCTCTCCCAGAGGGGAGCTTGCCAAGGGTCAGCTGTGATTGTTTCCCAAAATCATTTATGATCCATCTGTTAATGTCATTGCTTAATGTAATGAAACATCATAGAGACCAATGAAATATGAGTACAAAGAGTCGGCTGGTTTTCTTTCTTTTTCTTTTCTTTTCTTTTTTTTTTTTTGATCTGAGTAATTTGGGGGACGTCTTGGTGGCTCACTTGGTTAAACATCCGATTCTTGATTTTGGCTCAGGTCATGATCCTGGGGTCATGGAATCAAGCCCTAAATTGGACTCCATGCTCAGCAGGGACTTTGCTTGAGATTTTCTCTGTCCTGCTCCCTCTGCCCCTCCCCCACCCTCTGTGCTCTCTCGCGCTTTCTCTCTCTCTCAAAAATAAATAAATAAATCTTTCTTTTTTTTTTAAAGATTTTTTTTTTTAATTTATTTGAGAGGGAGCAAGAGAGCACAAGGAGGGGGAGCAGCGAGGGAGAAGGAGAAGCAGACTCACTGCTGAGCAGGGAGCCCGACGTGGGGCTCAATCCTAGGACCCTGGGATCATGACCTGAGCCAAAGGCAGACGCTTAACAACTGAGCCACCCAGGTGCCCCAAGTTGCCTGTTTTTATGGAAACTAAGGTGAAGACTTTAGAAAGACCTGCTAAAGGTCAGTGGTTAAAAAGTGTTAAGAATAAGAGGAAAACCTATTTTTTAAGAAATTGGGAAAATACTAAAAATCTGAGATTCTGCACTCAGATTGTTTCACAAATGTTTTAAGTGCCTGTTCCAAAGTAAGCTAACTGGCACTGGAAATCATGAACACCCAAAACAAAAACAAAACAACTCTCCAAACGAAAAGGAACTCAAGAGCTGCAGTTCATACATACTGGAAGAAATAGAATGTTAGAGCCAAATGATTAAAATTATCAATAACCACAACATGAATTTCCTGCAGATAAAGTTAATTTTATAGGAATAGGCTGATAGAGATGTTAAAATAAGTAAATGCTCAAAGACAGTAAGGAAATAATTATTTAAAACAACAACAACAACAACAACAAGGTACGCAGCCAAAACAAAGAGAAATAAAATCAAGATAAGCATAAAACCATGAACCAATTAGACATCTTGGAAGTAGATTATATGGTTCGCGGAAGTTAAAACAAAAGCCTCCACAGAAAGGACAAACCCTACACTAGATAAAACCACAAGAAGAATTCATGACTCGGAGCAATGCCGAGATTCACGAGAACACAGCATAGAGAGACAGAGGGACCCAGGAAAAGCAGAGACGAGGGGCTCATGCCCTCACCTGTGAAGGAGAGGGGCTGCCTGGATCTGAAGTGCTCCCACCATTGATTCCTTGTGGGACCTTGGGTGAATTGCTTGACCCCTCTCTCTGTGCCTCAGTGTCCACTTCCATAAAATGGGGATAGTGATCGTACCTGACGCTGAGGGTGGCTTGTGAGAACAAAACATTAACACGCACACATTACTTACAGGGGGGCCATAATCAATACTCCCAGTTAGATGTTGTGGTCATCATCCTGAACACCCCCTCTTCCCCCTCCTCATCTATCCCTTCGGGGCTCTAAGGTCCTAGGATTCTGAGATGTGAGCTACATGGGCCTGGGTGTCCCCTTGCCTCCTCCATCCCCAGCACCTCACGCAGGGCCAGGCACATAGTAAGTGCTCAATAAATATTTATGGGATGAATAAATTAAGCATATTTTTAAGAATATGATCAGTTTTTGAAAGAAAAATCTTTTATAGCACGCTGAACTATTACAAAGCTAATGTCAGTGTATCCTCAATATAAGGAGAAAATAAAACACGGCCAACCCCCAGAAGTGCCCCCACCCCATGCCCCACCCCTCTAATATTCCCTCTCTCACCCAAAAGGGAACCGCTATACTAACTTAACAGAGTTCACGATCTTGCTTTTGTAAAACTGTTTTTACTACCTAAATATAAATCCCTAACCACTAGAGTTCAGTTTTACCTGTCTTTTAAACTTTAAATAAGTGTGATCATATATATAACATTATATATATATATAGTATATGTATTATATGTATATATATATATGGTGATGGTGATGAGATATATATATTTTTTCTCTATATCTGTCTTTTTTCATTCAATATGGTGTTTTTGAGATTCTTTATTATTACATGTAGCTATAGATCACTCATTTTCCTTGGTGAATAGTTTCCCATTGTATGAACATACCACATTTATTTATCCATGTTGCTATTGATGGACATTTGGGGCTGTTTCCAGTTTTTGGCTGTTGTAAATAATGCTTTATGAACATTATTAGACATGTCTCTAGATAGATAATAGGAAGGAAGGAAGAGAAAGAAAGAAAGAAAAAAGGAAGGAAGGAAGGAAGGAAGGAAGGAAGGAAGGAAGGAAGGAAGGAAGAAAGAAAGAAAGGAAAGAAAGAAAGAAAGAAAGAAAGAAGAAAGAAAGAAAGAAAGAAAGAAAGAAAGAAAGAAAGAAAGAAGAAAGAAAGAAAGAGAAAGAAAGAAAAGAAAAAAGAAAAAGGTGGGTGGGTAGGTGGATGGGTGGGTAGGTGGGTAAATAGGTAGGTAGGTGGATGGATGGATGGATAGATGATAGAAAGAAAGATGGATACCTAGTGGATATAGGTCTAGAAGTAGAAGTGCTAGGTCACACAGTATGGTAATGTTCTAGAATATCAAACTGTTTTTCAAAACGATTATACCACTTTACCTTCCCACCAGCGGAGGAGGAGAACTGCAGTTGCCCCCTGTTTTCGTCAGCATTTGGTATGATCATCACCATTTAGCCATTCTGCTTGGTGTTCACTGGCGTCTCATTATGGTTCAGTATGCATTTTTCTGGTGATGAATTAGGTCGGACCCCTTTCTCATTCTCCCATCAGCTACTTGGCTATCAGAGGAGACTCTCTGAGATCTTGTGAACAAGTGTATTCTCTGTCAAGTGACTCTTCCAAAATGGTATCACCGATTTTAAAATATGAATCACGTGATTTTAACGTCAGTCTCCCACCACCCACATGTCCAAATCATACCCCGTCTTGTCCTGCTCTCCTTCCTTCCGGGGTATTCTTTTGTCTCCCCAGCAGACTGCAAGCATCTTCAGAACAGAGGCTGTGATGTCTCTCTGTCTCCCCCATGGCACCCACTGGGCAAAAAAATTCTTGCCAATTGACTTAAAACCACAATTTTGGGAAAACCTAACTTTGGGTTATACTTGGATGTGTTCTCTGAAAGTCCACAATTAACCCTGCACCAATATGAGCACAAACTCAAGAGGAAGGAGCCTGCACGAAGGAGTAATATCTGAAGAGGAGAAGAAGCAGAAAACACCATTTCTCGGCCCTTCTCCAGAGGAGATGAGTGTCTTCTCCAGGGAATGGTGTCTTGGTGGATTCCCTGGGCAGCAAATGGTGTATAATCTCAGGGCACTCATCTCCTCCAGGTCCCCAAACTCAAGGAGAGAAGAAAACCCTCTTAAAAGGATGAAAAGAGAAACACATTTTCTGTGTTATCCGATCTGGTACTGTCCCTTAACCCCCGACTGCTCAGCAAGAAACATTTCCCAAGGTTTGGGGCCATCATTCCGTTTCCTGCTCAAAGCACAAAAATGTCCATTTCATTTACCAGTCCCCAGAGGGATGCTGGAATGCCCAGTGGATTCGTGTCACCCTATAAATTAAAAGTTTCAGGGAAGTGCAGATTCTTTGGGGACAAAATTAGAAATCTTTCCACTTCCCTGGTTCAAGCCATTTTAAAGACATCCTCGCTCATCCGACCATCCCGTGTCTATGGAGGCACACTGAGCAAGTTTATTCTCAGGCTGCCTAGCAATAATGATGATCAGCCTTCACGGAGGAAATACTCTAGTTCCTTATTTATTTTCCAGATCGTGGGTTGGCAGACAACACCTATTTTTGTAAAATATATATATATTAGAAAATGGCCTACCATCAGTTTACCTATTGTTTATGCTGCTTTCCTACTTCTTGGGCAGAGTTGAGCATAGTAATGGACAGCATATGGCCCTCAACGCCTAAGATATTTACTATCTGGCCCTTTAAGAGAAAAAATTGAGCACTCCTATCCTAGATGGTCAGTGCAATCTTGGCAGGTCGTTTATCACTTATCTAAGCACATTCAATAAAACCAATATCGAGAATAACGATGGTAATAAAACCAAGTAGCAACTACTCTTGATTGAGCATTTACTATGTCCCAAGCAATGTACTAAGGATTTTACGTCGGTTATGTGATTTAATCGCCAATGTTTTAAGGAGGAAATATTATATTTCCCATTATACAAATAAAGAAACTGAGGGCCAAAGAGGTAAAGGGTCCCATGCAAGATCACAAAGCTCATCAGTGGCAGGCCTGGGCCTCCCACACAGGCTCTCTGATGACTTCCACTATGCCTGGGGGCTAAACAGCATCCGTGGAAGCTGTCATCTGCCATCTGTGGACAGACACAACCGGCAGACACGCGAGACAAAGAATATACAGCGGCGCCTGCGTGGCTCAGTTGGTTAAGTGTCTGCCTTCGGCTCAGGTCACGAACTCAGGGTCCTGGGATCGAGTCCTGCATCGGGCTCCTTGCTCAGCGGGGAGTCTGTTTTTCCCTCTGCCTCTCCCCCTGCTCATGCTCTCTCTCTCCAATAAATAAATAAATAAAATATTTAAAAAAAATAAAAGACTATGAATACACAGACCCAAAAGCCAGGGAAGCAGGGAACGGTCATCATGAGATGGTGGGGTTAGAGCCCTCGGTGTTAAGGGAGAGACTCTTTTGAGGTCCAGGTGAGTGTCCTCAGTGGGGAGCAGTATCCCCTGCTCTCAGCCCAGAACAGCAAGCAGAATTCACACACTGCCCTCAGAAGCATTCCTGCAGCACCTGTGGAGGCCACTGAGACCTGCAGGTGCCCGCGAGGGGCTCCTTGGCTCTTTTCTGTACAAATCGTGTTCAGTGATTTGTCCAACACTGGTTTTCAGGAGAAGCTGTTCCCTACTGGCTGAAGTACAGGGGTAGGGAACTGGTAGCATGGAACTACTGCCCCATGCATTTCAGCTCCAGCTGCAGATCGGCCCAGCTGGCTCAGCAAGACAGAAGCCCTGTGGTTACTGGGCCCAACGAAGTGGCTGCCAGGAGGCAGTAACCCCCAGGCATGCTGTCCCTTGGGCTCTGAACTTGGATCCCAGGGGGGCTATAAGAAATGTTTCCAACTTCACTCACTAGTCTCCCTGCGCTTAGTAGCTGACCCTCCCCATCCTTCTTCTATTCCCAGCGGTGTCTGCTGCCCTTGAGCCGCCCACCCCTCACTCAACTCTGTTCCTGAGAAATGCCAAGTGACTTTCCAGGCATCTGGGGATGGGAATGAGCCAGGCTCTTTCACCAGCAAACTGGCTCCTCCAGCTGCACCCCACCCCCAGCCCCCTTAGGTGCCTCAGCTCTGGCCCTCAGAAGCCAGAGGAACTGTCACTGACCTCTGAGCAAGGACCCGATTGCATCGACAACGCCGGTTCACACCCAGAACAGAGCGAGGCTGTCCTTCCTGCTCCCCGGCCCCCGGCCACCCCTCCCCATTCCCGGTGCCTGCAAACCTCTGGGAGTTACCTTCACGGCCACGAGCATCTTGTCCTTGGTCGGGCTGAGGTTGTAGCACTCGGCCAGGAAGACCTTCCCAAAGGCTCCCTCGCCCAGTTCCCGCTTCAGGACGATGTCCCTCCTCTTAATGTGCTGCACATCTGTAGGAGGGGGACAGAGGGGAGAGCAGCCCATCAGTTCGAGGTACCTGTCCTCATTACAGCAGGGAGTGCTGCTTCTGAGTCTGCGGCACAGAGAGGCAGACTTGGCCATGAACCCCGACTCACTCATGAAAGACGGCATTGCGTTGTGGTGTGCGTCCGACCCAGAACCAAATCAGTCTCGGTTCTGCCCCTGACTCACCCCTAACCTGTCTACATTACAGCTGCCTCAGCTCAACTCAGAGTCCACAGGAGTTAACACACAGGATTATGGAATAACTAGCTATAGTTGCTGGACAGCGTGTATGCACATGGCAGTCTCAACGGCTCCGGGCATCGTGCGGGTTCTGACTCAGCAGGTCTGAGAATCTGCACTTCTTACAAACTCTCCGGGGACGCCTGTGTGCCGTGGGCCCAAGGACTGCACTTTGAATGGTGAGGTGTGAATCCCGGCCCCACCACCTCCTTGCTGGTTTTTTTGAGCTTGGGAAAGTGATTTCATCCCAGAGCCTCAATGTTCTCAACTGTAAAACGGGATTAACATCCATCCATACCTTCCTTGCTGAATTCTTGTGATGATTAAATGAGAGAGCCCACTTGAAGACTTTGGCCCAGCGCCCGGGACAATCTAACGACACACGCGCACACACAGATGCACACACAGACACACACGGGCTCTTGTTATACAAGAGTAGCTGTAACTGTCCTAGCACAGGGTCTGGTTTGTGGTGGAGACGACTAAGTGGGAGCTAAAATTATCTGGGGGGAGCCTCTACTTGACAAATCCCGCTCCTCTGAAAGACCACTGAGATGATGAAAGCCAAGTCCAGAGAGCACCCCGGAACCACGGTCTATGCAGAGAAGGGTTGCCACCACCTCAGCAAGCCTATTAAAGTCTGTCTGCCAGGAAAAGGCAAGGATGTGACCTCAGCCGTCCCCCTCCCCTCCCCGTTTGGAAAGATTGCTATCGAAGGAATAGTACAAGCAGTGGGTTGGTGATGAAAGGAACAAGCCTGGAGATGCTCACAGATCTTCCCATTGTGAAATGGGCAGACGCCCACCACCCACCTGTAGGAATGTTATGAAGGGCGTCGCAGAGCCAGGAAAGGGGACTGTCTCACAGGACCTTGTCAAAAACTGAAGACGGAAGACCGTGGCAGGCCGACCGTCCCCATGAGCGAGGAGACAGGCAACAGGAACAGACAGGTGTGGCTGCAAGGCTTTGGTTGTTTGGGTTGGCTTGGGAATTCCTTCCAGAATAAACTCTGTAAATCTTTGTTTGTTTGTTTGTTTGTTTTTTCTACCAGAGTTCATGGTCTCCCCACCGTGTCCCAGATGACCTGTCGGGGAGGATCTGTGGGAGAAAGCATTTGCAGACCTGTTTTCTCTCCTCCCCAGCAAGACAGACCTGCAGGCTCCCAGCGCTGCTCCCAGGCTGCTCCTCACGGGCCATGTGACAGCCAGCTGGTGGTCACACACAGCAGGGCTTTGCCCCAGTCTTTACAACAAGCAAATTAAACATCGGTTGCCTTCTCTACACCCTGCCTCACTATTTCTTAGCCTCTGAGGAACAGGATTTGTTGGCCTTGAAGGGGAAGGCTAAAGAGTCTCCCACTGAGAGAAAATGGGAGGTCAGGACCTCTCGGGGGAGGCCATCTGCTCTTCGCTGCATAATTATTCCCAGGTGACCAGTGATGACGCACAGGGTCCTACAAGGTGAGCGTCCTGGCGCAGCCGCGGAGCACAGATGGGCTGAGAAGGCAGCCTTATGAGGCCAAGTCCCCACCTCTGAACACGCAGGGACTGGAGAGGAATGAGAAGTCAGGGGCACCCGGATCCAGACTTGGGTCCTCCACACAGTATGGGCTGAGGCACCTCACAAAACATCTTAGGACTCAGTTTCCTTGTCTGTAAAATGGGTGTGGGAGGATAATACAAGTTCTACTTACCTACTACATGAGCCATTTATCTGAAGGTTTATAATCCCTCAAGTCTTCTAAAATGTCAGCATGTTTTGGTGTTTGCATCATTGTGGATATTATTTTACAAGAAAGGGAAACAAGGGCCAAGTCAGAAGTCCACCCCTGGGGGCTGAAATGGGACTGGAATCCGGAGCATCAGGACATGCCAGAGTAGCCAAACCACAAAGGGACAAGCCCCCTTTGGCCCTAGACCCTGCCCCAACACCAGCCTCCCTCGGCACTGGAAGAGGGCAGTGTCGTTCTCAAACTTGAGCTGCAATAGAATCATCTAGAAGGCTTGTTAAAACACATTGCTGGGCCCTTCTCCCAGAGATTCCCATTCACTGGGTCCAGGTTGGGGCCTGAGAACTGTCTTTCTAGCAAGTTCCCAAGTGATGCTGATACTGCTGATCTGGGCACCCCACCTTGAGAACCACTGGAACAGGATGAACATTGGTAGGGGAGGAATTAGCCAGCTCTTAACAGACAGTCCCATGCCCACAGATGTTTCATTTATTTCTCGCCACCTGAAGGCCTGCAATCCTAGACTTACTGGGGGCTCCGCCTCCCCACCTAGTTGCACAGCCTAGGCTGAGTCAAGGTCCCTCTCAGGGCCTCAACTGCTCATCCACGCGATGAAGATCATGCCTCTCTCATCTTCTTATGTGCTGGACACATCCCCACACAAAGGCAAAGCAACAGTATATAAATTCCTGGATCCCTCAGTCCAACTCTGGGCTGAGCGACCTCACCAGCCCCCTGAGCTCTCTCATTCTCAGCTGCCATGACTACGGAGTGAGGACAGAGGGACAGAGGAATTCCATGGAGAGCCCACTCTCAGCCCGCTGAACAGATGTCAGGCTTGGGCCACCTCTTAGAACCCACTAGTCCTCCTCCCTCCCTCAGCGGGAAGAATCACAGGCCCGGAAAGGTTCAGACAAGTCAAGTGGAGGCAGCAAACAGGGAGCCATTTCTCACCCCTCCCTCCGTGCCCCAGGGCTTGAGAGCCTTGAATGCAGCAGTGGGGGCGCAGGGGACCACGTTACTGGGAACTTTGCTGCTCTCTGCAAGCACAAAGCAGAAGCCTCCCATGGACCAAAGAGTCTTCCCCAAAGTAGCAAAGGGATCTTTTTCAGAGACTCGAAAACACCCAGTGGCTCAGAATAAAATAGGCCCGGCTCACCCTAGTTGTCTTCAGGGAGAAGTATTTTGAGAGCAATACCTGAGCTTAGTCCACAAAGCGGGCAGTGAGATCTAGAAAGGGCGGCGGGAGGGACGGAAAATAAATATAGATTCCATTCCACCATAAATCCTCCCCCAGGGGAGAACATCCCGCCCGTCATGGGGATGAGAAGCTCAGCAAATGGGGGGCTTCAGTGGAGAGAGGCTGGGTGTGGGCCAAATGCATTAAGGCGAGTCACTTCCATGTGGACAGCCCCATGTACCAACAAGACTCTAGCCTCCCAAACACCATCCGAGCAGCTGTTTATCCCCGAACCTAAGTAGGAAGAAGCAGGGCAAAGGGAAGTGAATCTGTAACCAATTCTTCCCCGTGGTCAACATTCACTTCTGATAACCATGAGAGACAAGGGTTATTGTGCCCCTTTCACAGATGAAGAAATGGAGGCAGGGCTAACTCTCCAAAGTTCACAGGGCCAGAGCATGGCCAAGGAAGGCTTCTCTCCTTTCTATGGCTCCCGAGCTCACGTTCCTTCCATTCCTCAGATGGCCTTTCTCCCGTCCTCCCCTTCTTTGTGGCCGCTAAGACCATTCTGTCCACAGAAGGTCACCCCTCCATCTTCCCCTTCTTCCAGCTTGTCCGACTTCTCTTACCCCACCCCTCCTGGGACGCTCTTGCCCAAGGGAAAAGGAAGGAGCACCTTCCCAGAGGCCCCAGGGGAGGGGGGTGGGAGGGGAACAGTGTGGGAGGAAAGGGCGCTGCACAGGCCCTGGGGGCGGCTGGAGTGGGCCATTCTCATTTCTGATGTCCTCTTGTCTATTCGGGCCCTTTCTTGTGCTTATTTTTAGCTCACACAGTGCTGCTCAGAGCTGTCCCTGGTGAAGCCATTTGACCCGCACGCCAAAAAGTGATGGATTCTCCTAGGAGGAGAGGGCATCAATCTCCCTTTACTGCCTGGCTGGCTGGCCCAGCAGAGTCTGGGTCACAGGGCTCAGACGCCGGGACACTGGCAGGGGACGAGGAGGGAGAGGGATTCACAGCCCAGGCCGTGGGAACACCTCCCCGTCTCTAGGGAGGAGGGGCAGCTGCAGAGAGCCAGGGGCCAGTGCCCAGGAGGAGCGGTCTTTGGGAGATGACACGGGGCTCCTGGGACTTTCTATCCCGACTCTTCCCTAGCTCCTTCCGTCGACACAGCCCCCACTTGGGCTCTGCCAGAGGAAGCCCTCCGTAGGGTTTCTCTTTCCTGCAGGACAACTGGTTCCTCAGACGAAACAGAATGACGATTTCTCTTTCGGTTACTGCTCCATGAATTTTCCTCTGTACCGAGGACTGAGATAATTATACCCCATGTACGGGATTCACTTCTGCGAGGTCTTGCCGGGAGTGAGCTTGACCTAGGGCAGAATCACTAACCCAAGGAGGTCGCAGCCGCCTCCGTACAGAAGACCTCCGAGCCCGCAGAGCTCAGCGGGCAGGCTGTGGTCATCCCCCCTCATCTTCCCCGTGTTCACCTGAGCTGCCTCGCCCAGCGCCTTCTGCGACCCGCACGGGTCTGCGGGACAGACGTGGCTGGAGACGTCGGTGACCACTGACTGTCAGCCCCACCTCCATGTTCTGGGAAAACAGGGATGTGCCAGCCAGAAACTGTCCGTGCTGCTGACAGAGCAGGAAGAGGAAGCATAAAACCCACGAGAAACGGGGTGGCTGAGAAATGGAAGGCCTGGGGAAAAGAGGTCTGTGTTTGAAACCTGACCGTGCCGCTCACTGCCGTATCCACCCTCGGGCCGTAGTTCCTTATCTGTAGAATGGGTACATGACTATCCGCCCGGCAGAGTTGTCAGGAGGACAGATGCACGCTT